CTGAAAAAAGTAATCTATTTAGATATTATATACCTTATTTTTTTAACCAAAATAAAAAATTAATAATTTTTATATCTTCTTGCACCATTTCTTTGAAAAAAAAAATTGCATAAATATTGGTATTTATATTTTTTTAATAATTCATTAATTTATACTATAATCTAATGAAAAAATTACTAAAAAATTTAAAAACTTATATTAAATTCCAAATTTCAAAGTTCCAATATCTTAAGCAACATAAATTATAATAATTTTTAATTTAACCATTTAATTAAGTCTAAGTTCATATCAAGTATTTAATACATCTATTTTTAAGTATCTTTAAAATTTTACTTTTAGATCTATTATAATACATAAAAAATTCTCAGAAGTATAAATATCTTTTTATTTCTCAAAGATAAAATAATCCAAATCCTATTTCAATCTTGCATAGCTCTTACAAAGTCATTATAAATGTAAATTACTTAAATTTAATAATCATAGAATCTTTTATAATTTTTTTTACTAATTTCATTAATCAATAAAAATTAAATCCTCCACATATTATTGGGGCATTGTTTTGTGCCTTGAATATTGGTTTTAATCATAATTCACAATTACCCTATTATGATATCAATCCCAAATATTTTTAGATAATGTTTATTGAAAACCACCTTTTACTTTTATCATATTATGATTATAATATTATTTTTACTAATCAATTTTTATTTGGCTTATTTTTAGATATATAAAAAAAATAGAGATTTTTTAAGAAAAATAATAATATAGACATTAGTTTTTTATTTTCTATTATCTTTAATTCATGATTCTTATAATGACTATATTATGGACATATATATTTATTTAGATTATAGGAGATAGATAGAAGTAAGTAAAAGTAATTCAATTTAATAATATATTATGAAAAAGTATCTTTGAAGCTTTAAATATGAAGATTTGATTTTATACATATATGTAGGTGTTTGATAGGTTGAAGACTTGGCTAGTAATTGTTGGGTATGTAGCATACATATAAGACACTCGCCTTACAAATTCAATAGATATTAGGGGTCCTCTAGAACATTGCCTAATAATTCTTAATTAAATAATATATAATGAAGTAAGAATAAAGCCTTCTTCACTCTTGTCAATTCTTTCTTTTTCTTTTTGTCTAATTTTAAGAGTCTCCAATTTTCTAGTCTTTGGCAATATTCATTTTAATTTCTTCTTAAAATATATATTTACATAGTTTCTTTTTAACATCTCTCTTTAATATACATGTCACTTATTTATTTATATTCTTTGAATTCTTATCCTTGATAAATTCACAAGAATGCACTTATAATATTAAAGCTTTGTCTTTTCTTCATTGGAAATAGATTATTCTATGCTCTTAATAGGACATAAGCATATTAAAAATAATAGATTATTAATGTTTCTTCAATGCATATATTTGGAGGTGGAAGACATGCAAATTGATACAATACATTTTACACTTCTTATTGAGGAAGAAAAGACTCAATATTATCAAGAAGGATTGTACTTACATTATGGTGAATTTAAACATACTACTAAATATTATCCAAAGAAGTGATACAACCACAATATAAAGAATAGGATTGTTAAAAAAGATAATATGTTAAAAAGTTTATTTAACTATAATAGGGATTGTGCTATTGAAATCTTATACTATACTAGCTAAAAGTCTTATTCTTGTCTTAGAATCTTTTTTTTAATTTATACTAGATATTTATTTATTACTTAAAAATTATAAAGGCCGAATTTATTTTTTAGATGAAGAGATTGTTAAAAGATATGTTATAAATTTAGTAAAAAAAACTAAATCCATCCATAAAGAAGTCATAGATGGTTTGTTTTTGTTGTTTGGAGATATTATTTTTAAGCTTTTGTCTTTTGGAAATATTATATTTCCTATATATGTAACAATAAATGGTTATAATAATTTATTAATATTTAATATTATTAGATCTTTTTTAATTTAGTTATTTTTAGTTTATTATTATTTTAAAAAAATTCTTAAAATAGATAATAATTTTTATAGTCTCAATATTTTTTATATTAATTAATAATTTTATCAATTGAGTAGAAATTCATAAGACTAATATAAAAAAATTCTTATTTGTAGATACAAGAACTCTTATAAATGCTACAAAATAAAGGTTATCTTTTGGTATTTATATTACACTTATTTTTAATGGTAAAAAGACTTTAAGCAACATTCTAAGGTAGTATCAAAATTATCAATACATATTTAATATATATATATTTTTCAGAGTATCATCCTATGATTGCTCTATTAACCTTCAAGAAAGAGCTCAACTGTCATTTGCACAAATCTATAGTTTATCATAAATTGAGTTGGCTAAATTTAATGATTACTTTCATAAATACTTGACCAAGAACCTCATATGCCATTCAAAATCTCTAGTAAGAGCAATTACCTTGTTTATGAAAAAAATAGATAAATTATAATGGATGTTTGTAGATTATTAAGGCTTCAATAAAAATACTATCAAAATTAGATATCTTGTACTTTTGATATAAGAATTTTTTGAATAATTGAATTAAGCCAAGATTTATACAAAGATAGACCTATGTAGAGTATTTAATCTGATAGATATCAAAGGAAAGAAATGAATAATAAACTAAATTTTGAATCTAGTATAAATATTTTGATTAAAATATTAAATTTTTGGACTCACTAATGTACTAGTTAATTTTCAACATCTTATAAATGATTTTTTAAAGAGTTTTTGGATAATTTTTTGTATATTATTTAAATGATATTTTAATCTACTATACAAATCTAATGTTATTTGAGATTTATATTTAATTATTAGATATTTATTAAGAATTTTTTTCATATTGTAACTTGACTTTTATGTTTGAATTGTAAAAACAAACTTGAATAGAATAAAAAAACTATAGTAGTATTTAAAGCCTCTAAAGATAATTTTTACTATTGCACCAATTTTATATTGTGTCAATTTATTAAAGATATTTTTTATGAAAATAGATGTACTAGAGTTTGCATTAGATGTAGTATTGTCACAAAGAGAAGAAGATAAAAAAAATTATTCTTTAGATTTTTATTTAAGAAATTTTTTAGTAGTTATGATGAAGTGCAAGATCAATTACAAAGGACTTGTTGTAATTATGGATTTATTTGAAGAATGGCATCACTATCTTAAAAGCGCTCCCAATGAAGTGATTCTTTATATAGATCACAAGAACCTTAAGTACTTTATATCAATACACAATGTGAATTATTACTATGCTTGTTGGAGTATGATTTTGTTGAAATTTGTATTTAATATCACATAACAACTAAGAAAATAACAAATTTCATCAAGCGCTTCTTCTTAACATTCTTATCTTATGCTCTCATGTTATAACACGGCCATTAGGTATATATATATATATATATATATATAATATTATAGAAGAGCTTAAATGAAAATATTGTTGTAAATTAACTTTAAAATATAAATAATAGATAAGGAGATAGTAAAAATTAATAAGTGCTAATGTTATTTTTTATTAAAAAAAAAGACTTCTATTTACTTTGTAGAAGTATAAATGAGGCAAATCAAAGTAGATAAGAAAAATAAATGATGTATACTTCTTTACAGATGAATCAAGAATAGTTTTTGGCAAAAATGAAGTTAAGAAATCAAAAATTGATATCCACAAAGGATCAATTATGAACCAAGGTTAAAATCTAATCCCAAGGCACAAATCTCCATAAACTTTTGATGTGTGATTTGTTTGAGAAAACAATCTACAACAATTGAAAGCAAACACTCTTTGCTAGCAAAATAGAAAAATGCAAATTGTAGATCTACAATAAATAATTCAATAGCTAAAGGATTATGACATCTATTTACATTGATAAGTAAATTTTCTCTAATACTTAATAAATTAATTTTAATTTGAAATGTCTTATAAATATTTAATGAATAAATTATTATTATTATTATTGTTATTATTATTATTTATTTTATACATAAAACTATTCAAAATTGAATTGTCTACATGTTTTCATTAAAATTTTTAAAATCAGTATATGTTTCTTTTTTTAAAGAAAAGATTGCTGGAAAATAATTCCAAATTTTCAAGTACAAATTAAATCCTAGTGTTTCAAGTTATGAACATCTTTAAATGTTTTCTTGGAAAGAATCAGTTTATATACAGAAAGGAAAAACAAAAAAAAAAAAAAAAAAAAAAAAATGCAATATCATAATTACTATATGTTCAATCAAATTATTATATGTTAGCACCATGTTGTTGATTTTTGTTTTTTTAAATATTTTTTTAGTTTTTTTTAAGGATCAGCTAAAAAATTTAACACATGAGGTATACTCTTGAATAATAATTTATGAATTATTTAATTACATATTAAAGAATCAGTTTTTACACATTTCAAAGTATAGAATGATTACGTGAATAGATTGCACTAGGTTTTATGGATTTGAGAAATAAAATAACTGCATTAATATGTTATAAGTAAATAAGTGTTAAAAAGAAAGTAATTCTGTGTCGCAGTTCTAATGCATGGCAGATTTGTCACGACTCTCCTGCGATCTCCTTCCTTCCCGCACTTTGAAACCTGTGCTTCTGTGTCATGACCCACTCCCACAGAGTGGAGGAATGTGCTGAGGTGGACCAGGGGCTGTAGGCTGGGGCTGATGGGATCAGGAATGGATCGGTAATGCCCAACCTAGATGAAGCACACTGCTTTGTATGTACGTACATATTTATTTATGTATGTGGATGAGTATGTGTGATCATGCCGTCCGTCTTCCTTCTGGTGCAGCACATTCAGAGACGGGAAGAGGGCAAGCTCGGGGGAGGGGGAAGGAAGGGGAAGGGAACGGCAGGGTGGAGCATGCCCCAGGGGGAGGCGAGGATTGGGGGGAGGCAGTCAGAATTCAAATACCAGGTGGACGGCACCTGCTCTATCTAGGGTGCCCCCCCCCCCCCCGCCTCTTTGGTCAAGTATATGTCTCTCCTTACTTCCATCTCTACCTTGCCCTTTAGGGTTCGCTCCCGCATTGCTTCCAATTCTGTGCACTCTGCTGCTCCTCTTCCTCGCTACTCTAGCTGTTCTCCCCCCCTCCCTGCTTGTTTTCAGGTTCGTCTCTTCCCACTTTGTCCCACCTCTCATTCTCTTCTTTTCTGAAATGTTTCTACATCAAACTCCTAGCCTGTTTGCTCATTCACTGGACTTCGTGGGGCTGCGGCGCGGACAATCTTCGTTCTCTGCTACTTTGTATTGTGTGAGGCAGATTTACGCCCTTCGCACACAATATATTTTAGACTTGAATGGCGCTGGCAATTGTAGGTGCCATCCAGTGCAACGCCAGGTTGAGAATTGCATTTCGTTGCAATTTTGAGTGAGGTGTGGCCTATTGCAGTCTTGGGACGCGTGTTTGCCCATGATTTTGCACTCTATTGGAGCGATTTAGTGGGAAAGTTTGTCCTGAAGAGTTCGATGCATCTGGTGTGCAGTGTCTTTGATCGGTCGCAGGTAGGCGAATGTTCATGGAGGTATAATTAATGTGAAGAAGTAAGATCGTGATAAAAAAAAAGATATAAACTTTTTGACACGTACCATGCTGATTTGAATAGCTGTACGCGAGTATTTAATTTCATTTCTGCTTCTCACCTGCCTTGCTGATTTGCGGGTTTGAGATTTTTATTCTATATTTTTATTATATAATGACTTCTGGATTTATTCAAGAAGTCCTTGGCAAACAGAATAATGAATACTGTTTTGTAGAAGCGTGAGTGTAGAGCTTTTGTGAAAATGGTTCGACATTAGAAGTAGTTATACAATTTTTGTTTATTCGAGATGACTTTGACTGTTGAGAGCGATCTGTGCAGGGTGATGTGCTTAAATAGGTGATAGCGAGGCAACTAACGGGGCAGCCATGGTCGGCCGGATGTCCTTGCCCTCAGACGCGGACGATGACGCACAGAGACTGCAGAATTACCTGATGCAGTGTACGAGTCGTGACATAGCGGCCGCATGCCAAGCAGTGGAAGCGCAGCTGCAAACTGTGGGCGGTGAGCATGTGCGTGATTTTTATCGCCTTTGTTTCCCCGTAGTGCTGCGGAAGATTTTTGGTTTTGAGGACTCTAGTGCAGCCTCGCAGCCGGCTTCGTCAGCTGGAGGTTGGCTTGCACAGGCTTCTGTACCGGGAAATGAGGCAACTACACGAGCATTGATTTCTCTTTTATCACCGCGTGGGTCTCTGTTTTCATCTCTTCTGGCTGTGGACAAGGAGAATTTCGTGCGCTATGTTTTCCCAATGGAAAGGCTGCCAGAGTGGGTCAGGAATCTACTCTCACAGGAGAAAGGAGCTCATATTTTGTGCCAGGTTTCAGATCTGTTCAAGAGCCGCATCATGGAAGATGCGAATGGGTGCATGCAGGTGTGCTTTTATCCTTGTGTACTATTAGATTCAAGTAATGATTTGTTTGGGATGTCGTTGTGACGTGCGAGTCGAGAATCAAGTCGCTAGTAAATCCCAATTGGTTCGGAGTTTGCACAAGTGCATGGTCTAAGGTATACTTAATAAGTAATACAACTGACGAGTAGTCTTTAATCCTCGGTCTTCTTTGCTACTACACGTATGGGCTTAGTTGTGCTATAGGTCAAATTTAGGTTTGTTAGTCACCTTGCGGGGTTGGCTGTGTCACTTGCTGTACTTGATTGCTCTGCGTATCATTAAGGTTCTCTTTTATTCAAGCTCTTTTCGTTACTTCGCATCTTTATATCTTCAAGTTCCCATTTGCCTCACTTCACCACATCATCATGCTCTCTTAAAAGAACTAGGATGTGCATTTTACAGGTTCATTTGGATGTGTTTGAGTACTACATGTTTTGGTTTGCTTACTACGCGGTTTGTAAGGACCAAAATCAACGTCAAAGAGCAGCAGGAGGAAGGCGTACATCTCGCTCATCACGTTCATCCCAGTTTCGAATGCAACTCGGGAATTGGGCGTCATCCATCCCTCGCTTATCCCACTCCCCTCAAGCGGTAGAAGTTGGTGGTAGCCCCTACCTCCAGCTCTTGAAGCTTTATCTGAGCCATTTCGTCATCTTAAGTAGCCCAAACAGAGGATATCTTGGGCGAGAAATGCAGCTAGGTGATGTTGGAGGCGCAACTCATGGCGATATTCTCATCCATACTCTTATTGAATTTTGGCTTGTGGACGATGATCCTTCTCCTTTACCTTTGGCTATCAGGCAATCTCTGGGAATTCAGGCAGGAGGAGCAGCAGCCGTCTTGAGCTACATTCCTCCTGGAGCAGACTTGACTGACTCACTCAAAGTTCTTATTAAGTATCTAAATAGCAACTTGCGACTGTCCGTAGGCGAACATACGCTTGTCACTTCGTCGTCTCCTTTAATAGAATCTAGTCTAAACCTGCGAAGAAGGTTGTCTGAGAGTCCATCTGGACACTTCTCCTCTCCTCTTTCACTTGTACACTCCTCTGGAGCTTCTCAGTTTCCTTCAGCTTCCAATGCATATTTGCAGGCATTGCACAGGCCTCTGTATAGATTTCTACATCGGGCATTCCGGTTGTGGCCAATTGGGACATCTGTGAGAAAAATAGCTCAAGTTGTGGATGTATGGGTAGAATATCTAGAGCCATGGAACACTGGATTGGATGCAGCAAATGTTAGGGAGCAAGCACAGCTACAATGGCAAAAGGATGTTGGCCACATCGGAAGTAGGGATTTTGGACCGAGATTGTCTCCAAGTTTATCTTTTAAGAAGTCGGATGGAGGGTCTGGTATTGGTTTTACTGTTTCAAAGGCTTTAGATCGGAGGATTTCTGTGGAGTCCTTCTCCGAGCTTTGGCAGGTATAATTCTATCGTACTTCTACATGTTTTTATAAAATTTAAAAGATTTTGAAGGTTCAGATAACGGGAATACTAACCATATTTATTTGATTGATTTTCAAGTTAGTTGGTAATCTTTGCGGTTTTATTGCTTTTTTAGAGACTCATTTCCATTTTTATGGTACCTTATCTTTCTGGTGCAAGTAACAAGAGAATCTTTTTCTCCAGAAACTAAATTTAGGTGATTGTGAAAATTTGTCAGTCTTTTTTGAGGACGGGCTATATTCTAAGAAGAGGGATGTATTTTAGGATTACCCCTCTATATCCGCTTCCGCTACCTCTCAGTTTCGTTCGTACTGATAGAATATGTTTGTGAATGCTCAAAATGTTTTTCGATGTGCGTTCTTCTAAAATGTTCGAGTAGAAGTCGAGCAATGATGTATTGTAATCTCCAGGAAGATGAAGTTATGTAATTAAGTTGCTATGAATATATGCAACTTTTTTTGCGGAGGGAAATCGGTGTTACAACTTGTGGCGTCTCTATAACGATTCTAATCTGAGTAATGGCTGATTGCAGGGTTACGTGTTAGCTAACTACCACTTTTACACTTCTTTAGTGACAAACTTCTTAGAATTTGCGCTGAAGTTTGTGCATATGGACCCTGAAGCCATTTTCCAAATGGTTTACAAGGTAATGTTTCATTTTTCTATGTAAGATTTGTACTCCTCTCGATCATTCTCTGCACGCTGTAATATAGTTCAAATTTGAGATCTTTAGCTTTCTTCGTACTCTATTGTCTCTGTATGGAATCGGACTATTCTAAAGTAGTCCACTATGTTCGCAACCTTTTAGGGGAATATGCATATGTATTGAGAGAGATGTGATTGATTCAGGTACTTTCTGTTTTGGCAAAATCTAAGGAGTTGTTGGATCTGCTTCGCAAAGTTGATGTTGCATATGGAGGTCACATGTATGGTCGCACGAATCAGCGACATAATGTACTATTTGATCTAGCGCCCACCATCCAAGAGCAATTGCAGGTGATGCCTGTGTTTCTTTGAGTACTTATCGTTCTCATCGTATAGTTAACTTTATCAAGATGAGCTGAAGAAATGGAAGTGATCACAGGTATCGGTGATGTGCAAAGTTGTTGTGAATACTATTGAGACTGATCAATTGGTATATAGGACTGGGAAGAGGGCGCTGAGACGGATGAAGAGCAGGAACGTGGGGATGGGCTCATGCTACAATCACCACTCCGAAACAAACTTCCTCAATTGCGACTTTTTAGCATGAGTGACAATGGAGGCAATCGTCTTCTTCAGGTTCGCGCTTTCGAGATCATCTTTATAATTATAGTTTATTAACCCCTTAGCGTCCGTAAGGTCTACTTAAATTTTGTTGAATCCGCCTTTCTATTTTATTATTCTGGCTTGGATAAGGTAAACGGATAATATTTCTAATCTTTAAGACTACGTATGATCTTTAAGATCATGGGGTTGGACTTGAGGAAAACATGTTTTTATCTGTTAGGATTGCGGAAAACATTTACCGTTCTTTTCTGAGACGCTCAGATGTTGCTTGTTCTGGAAAGAGATACTTGATTTGTCCTCTAGATTTTTACTGCTGCTGTTCAGTGTTTCTGGATGAGGTGTAAATTTGACGTTATTAGAGGCATTGTTTATTGAATGGTCAGGCATTATTCATGCGAGCAGAGATTGAAATTCAGGCGTCGAGCGAAAAGCCACCATTGAGTGTTCATGCATTGGAATCTGTGAAAGAGGTTGCCCGAAAGATCTTTGATATGAATACCATGGAAAGTCCTTCAGTAATCTTTCAACCTGGTTATTGTCAATCTCCAATCGCGTCTCAACTAGAAAACTTAAATGGTCACGAAGCTGCATCTACCCGCAGCTTGGGGCTTCAGCGCCACTCTTGGCAGGATGTGAAGTACAAGGGAGACTGGATGAGACGGCCGATTGAAAGTACGGAGGTGGCCTTTCTTGCACGGGTGTTTGTGAGGATGTCAGATGCAATCAATAGGATACTAGGCCTGACAACGGACGCTGTAAAGATCGGCGAAACGCCTTCTGCAAGAGAAGGCGTAGAGGGAAATGCGGATCAATCTGAGCCTGAAGTTGTTCCTCCTAGCAGTAGTGAACAAAATGAGGTTACGCTCTCTGATGTGCTCAATTTTGTCAAGAACTTGCTCTGGCAAATTTTGTTAGTTCTTCAGTCAGAGGCTAGAGATAGAGGTTGGCGAGTAAATTTACGATTTCTAGCAGGAAAGAAGTTCTTGGTGCTCTGCATGTTGACACTTCTTTTCTGTTGGGCAGTGCGATCAATTACAAACTTTATCGCACTTTATTTTAGCTAATTAACATATGTTATTTAGGTATTTGTAATACCTGGTATCGAGAACCTGTTAAAGAATTTTCCGCACTTAATAGTGCCGATCTGCTCATACCCAATGGTTCATTGGAAAGAGCAACAATGGAGATGTGCAAGGGTGAAGAGCCTGTATATGAAGCCTTTTATGCAAAATAAAGGTGTGATTTTGGCGGCATCGATCTGTTAGCGTTTACTGTAGATTTTTAAATGCTGACACTTCAATATGTCAGATTTTACCATGTGAAAGACAATCCTTCATTTTAATGCATGTGTTTTTGTCTCAATACCTTCACTTTATTTCTGTCTTTTTCACGGATCACATGCTTCCAAAATTTACCTCAATGCTATAATTGGGTTACGAAATAGCAATTACAAATATGACGACTAAGTTAAGTTGAATATTAAGCATAAATTAATCATATAAAAAATATGTTTATATATATATATATATATATATATATATATATATATTACAGAAAGTTCTTAATATTCTCAAATAAAAAATACTAGTAGAAACAGCGTCTCATTATGTAATTTTGGTGTCTGCGTTAAGCACGATAAATCAAAGAAACCATGATTTTATTTTATTTTAATACTTTTTCCAAAAATAAAATCGAAATACAATAGATATTATTAATACTTAATCGAAATAGACATATAAATTATTAATTTTTAACAATTTTTAGAATTTACTAAAAATTATTAAGCATTTGTCTTTGATATTAGTTACTATTTAAGTTTGAATTCATTCAATTACTGTATCACTAAATTATTTGTATTACGCACTTGACTTGCGTGTGATTTTCAATCACTTTTCGCCTGAAATCATTTAACTTAACGTAAAGACGTTTTAATGATATAATTCGTACTATTACAAGGCAATGACATTAATGTCTGCAATGTACTACATCACTGCTTAGGATGTAAAAATATATTTGACATCACAAATTTAATCATATAACGAAAATGAATTTAGTACAAATAATCAACTAAAAACAGCGTCATCGTGAAATTGTTACCTACCATAATCAATCTGAAGTAAATAACTATTCTAATTGAGCTCCAACTTAAAATACACTTAGTTATACAAAGATTTTATCACCGAGCCACATGAATTTGAACTTTTTAAAAATCTTAAGACTAATTCAGAAGTTCGGAAGGCATATGACATCACTTTCCATCAAGCTACAAAACTGAAGGCACATACCATTCTCCGACTCTTTGACCTCATTGTACACGCTTGAAATTTTATATCACAGAAATTCAATGAACTGCTCCTCGCAAAAAACATATAGGTATCCCAGTTCAAAAGAATAACTAAGCCGAGATGTAAATACGACCACAGCAAGTACATCAAAATATGTATTTCCTCAACATAAGAGGAAGATGCTACATTCTCTGGTTCGTGGAATTGGCTGTTACCAAGGTGCCCCGACACTTTTGATTTCAAAACTTGTAGTAACGAAAGATTTCGAGTGAATAAAGTGCATATCCAATCGACAGCCTTGCCGCACTGATACTGCTATTTGAAAGAAGTCTCCTTGATTCTGTGCTATTCTGGATTGGATATTTTTCCTTGAGGTATATCATGCATAATTAAATGGACGGTCAGAGAATAGGTCCTTACATTGATGTTGTAGAAAAAGCACGGTCTTCTTGAGGTCAAGCTATCACAAATGCAAGACTCGAGAAATACATTAGCAGACTTCAAACCATGCTGCAAAAGGGGACGCGACACTTCACAAAGATGTTTCACCAAAGAATGCTTTAAGAAGCTGATTAGGTTCTACACGAAGGAAAAATAAGTTTTTTAAAACTAGACAACGAAATTCTAATGGTACGATGATGGCACATTTCTTGTCACAATTAAATACTTGTTCGGTACAGTTGCACAATAAACCCAAAAGAACCACATCTCACGAACTACTGAAACCGGTGCTTGAAAATTTGCTTATGTTAGGGCTCGATGAAACTGACCTTATGTCAGATCCTCTTCATTCAACTCGTCATCACCTGGTTCCACGACACTTGCAGCTTTAACATCACCCTTTGGCAACTGCTTAGCCAACCTTACAATCTGCGAACGATACCCACAAAGATAGTTCAGGTTGTTAAAAACAACCGTACATACTAGTGAACGTATACTCAGGAATGTTATCCAAGACGCTATAAATTATAGCGGTTTACCAAGGGGATTCAGCCCAAACCCTCCCAATATTTGGAAGTTTGAGGTCATGTAATTGCAAATCTAAACCTAAGATTTAATCAGATAAATTTGACGAGGGAGTTTTTTCCTGTTTGAAAATCTGACAAATGTGTATACTGTTAACAGGTCATGCTACTGCGTTCATTTTCAGACATTTTATTTACTATACGTTTGAAAGGAGATTTTTTTTTTTTGTTGTTTTTTGTTTTTTTTTAATTCTAAATCTGAATTAATTTTACAAAAACATTTTAGAACAAACTGAATGAAATAAACGGTTTATTGCCTACTAACATGGATCCAGTCAATACTTACTTTATCATGATATATAACAAGACTGATTACTACTACCAGATATCGAGAACCGGTTGTACTAAGTTGAAACATCGAAATAGAAAAAAATAATAAAGTATTTATTGATAAACTTGTAAAAGTAAAGATTGTAGTGAATTAAGAGCAAATGAACAATGCTGCAATAAAGATTGGGGTTTGTCTAGTAGCTCACCGTGTGATCTAAATGAGTAATGATATGACTTGAGCTCACAACATGCCTTATTTCATCTGGGTTTCCCTCACAATATGCTGATAAAAGCTTTTCAGCAGTTTCGCTCTGGTCACTTCTGGAAAACGCATTAACCCTGTAGAAACCCCCCTACCCATCTCTAAATTGATCTCTGTACCGCGCATGAGATTTTTCAAAACTACCTAAGACATATGGAGTAGATCGTTTGTTTCTTTGAAATTGTGAGTTCTAATTATGGCCAGGAAGAATAAGCGAACACAAAAAGAATGAAATAGACTTACATAGAGTTTATAAAATGGAGAACTGAATTAGATAATTATAAAAAAAACATATAAAAAAAAAACACACTCTCCTCATAATTTGTGAAGACTGAAAACATACTGAGAACAATCGTTGTAGCACTGTTGTGCTTGCTTCAGATCTTCGTCATATAAGTGAACAATGACTGCACTAAGGTATGCCTGAATTCCTCACCACGAATTCGAGACGTCAGTTTCCATTAACAAATTTCCTGCAAGTAACAAACCTAACAATACCTCATCTCAAAACTGCTGACAGACTAAAATTATACCTCCAAGGTCTCAGATGTATAAATACACAAGCAGAGACTGTATGTTAGAACTAGAAGTGCGCTACAATTAAGTACCCAATAATCCAGATAATCCCCAAAAAGACTAAACTTGTGCCAAAAGTGCAAATACTAGTCTTTCATACACTACTCTACCCTCTTTTCAAACAAGGTATATTAAAGAAGTTGTTTCCTACAAATATCCTCAAGCAATTGACAGACTTCAAATACAACTCATTCAAGAACATTTACCATTAACTAAAAAGCATGAAGGGCATGACGCAAAGCATTAATCAATCCTCTATAGCATGTATGAAGGTTCATTATTATGAGATTAAGAATTGCATCTCTGGCATGTTAAGTAATTACTCACTTTGCACTGGCTCTGAGTGGCATGACATTTATCAGCTGACTGGCCCCATCTAACAAGCACTGCTGCCGCGTCTTTAAACCTTCACAATCAAAACATTCAGCATTTGATTCATTAACAAGGAAAACAAACATGAACCAGTTTTCACCCATCAAAAGAGTCGAGATCTAACCAAAAGAAACCCTCAATTTCATACAAAAAATTGTTCCTAAAACAATAGACAAAGTTAGATAACCGTCGTGCAAACAACCACCATACCAATAATATCTTCTCTAAAATTTATCAACTGATTTACAAAAGATGCCCCAGCTAAGATCGCCATCACAATTCGCTACCTCTAACAAAAGAGAGTGGACAAGCGATTCAAACGTACATTTGAAGCATGTGACCAAGCAACTACCCACCCATGCACACCAGACACAATATGATTATAATAAATCTATGTGTTATTATCTACATTGCTAGAAAAGAAAAAAAATCTGACATTCTCCTGTTCTTAGCACTGATATATCAACCATAACGTATTCTTGTAAGTTCCAATCATGTGAGCCCTAGCGTTGACATAATGTTGAAAGAGTGCTCGCAAAGACTGAGCGGGTAAAATTGCAAAATTAGACTGCACATTGAAGAATCAAATGCTCCGTTGGATAAGGCTGTCGAAAAATGGATGAGGCATCCAACAGATTGCGTGTTGCAAAAACCGTAGCATAATTCATAGGTAATACAGAATATTTCACATTTGATAAAATTGTTCATGTAATGCGAATACCTGTTGAGCTTGACGTAGAGATTGACTGCTGCGCGGTAATTATCGAAGGCCATCTGTTCGCGACCATCTTCCTCAAGCATCGCACAAGCATCCAAGTACATCCTGACTGCAATTTCCGACCTCTCATCTTCCACTGCCCTGCAGAGAACACTATGTAAGCTACCCAATCACGCTGAAAGTAATTCAGTAAACGTATAAGTTAGGATTGATCCAGTCAGAATGACGAAAGATACCGGGCACCTCTGCTAAGCACATCAGCACTTGGCTGTACTTTCCCGCAATGCAGAAAAAGCTCGCTAGCTCTTCTGTATGAATCAACGGCTTCATCAATAAGACCAAGCTCTTTAGCTAGTTGACCTGCCGACTCCATGTGCTTTCCTGCAGTCCACGGTCTGGCACAATCCAGCAGATTAAGGACAACCTTCCACAGAGACGGAATAAAAATAAGACTCTTGAGTTTAACAGGATGCTCTAAGACTTGATTTCTGCAGAAGAAGACCCTCAATTTTATTGTACCGACTGCAGCCTCCTACTACAGAAACCCTAAACCGAATTGATGATCGTTTCAAATAGAAACTCCTAAAGACTTGCAGCATCTGAAACTGGTAAACGACTGAAATTGAAACTGTGGCAATATAATTACACTTCTATACTTCAACTGGAAATGATGAACCCTTACATACATATCAAGAGCTTGCCTACCCGTAAGATTGTCTAAGGCAAGTTCAAGATCATTTCTCAATACAATACACTCCTCAATGTTCCGTGCTTTGCACTTTAAAGAATAACGTAAAGAGGAGGATACGATGATAGTCTTTCTTGACCTGTAGCAGCTTTTTCGTAGCATAACTTCGCTGTATCGGGTACTTTTGCCAACTTAAATGCAGTTGCTGTCACTCACATACGACGTACGCGCAATACGGAAATCAGGAAATTCATTTGGAATGAAGGACGTTAATACAAACAAGTGGCTTAAAACACAAATTATCCCCATTTTCTCTGGTTTCTGCAACAAGAATCGACAGCAGCTCATGCGAGCGGGAATTTATCGATCTTACGAGCTTCCATACGCAAATCTACAAGTCGTTGAAACCCCTTATAGCACAGAACATACATTCCGGTAGACCAATACGAAATGGTGGATGCAGATTTAAAATCTGACAGCATGAGGTTGTCGCAAATTTTACTCCACTATAACTTAATCTACATACAGTTCACCTCTAACTGAACGGAGGCGTAAGAGTAGTATACCAGATGAAGTGACGGATCAGGTATTCACTTCAGAGAAAAAGATGATGAAATACAAGAGTTCTATTAAAATCGGTCGTGATGAACAAGATTAGTAGTACATGAGAAGGAGGGAGAAGCAGAACCTGCTTGCTCGTATAGGGGTGTCGCGGCGACCCAGTCAGACGACCAATTGAAGAGGCTAAGTTTAGTCCTGCGAAAGCAGACAAGCGAGAATAACACGAAGTGAGTACAGGCAAGGGGAGAGGCAGGAAGAGGCAGAGGGGAAGGGCAGGGGTGAGGAAATCACAGCTTTTCGGCTTTGCGGAGGAGGTCATGGGCTTGGAGCAGGCGAGGATGTTGAGACGACAGCGCGGAGGAGGAGGAGGAGGCAGAGTGCTTAAGGGAGTCAGCCATGGTGCTAAGCAGGAGAGCGTGGAGAAGGCAAGCGAAACGCAAGAGATGGAGAAGGAGAGGAGCGAGCACGGAGGGAGAGGGGGGTGGAGCTGCATCAAGAGCAGGGCAGGGGCAGGGCAGGCCACTACACACAGTAGTAGACAGCACATCAGAGCACACAAGAAAAGGGTCGATACGCAAGTGCCCCGAGGAGGAGGAAGTTAGCGCCGCCTTAGAAGGGGAACCCGAAAGATCTCCAGCAAGAGCATTGGTCGGCACTGGCACGGGCGGGGGAAAAGTCGTATCACTCGGGAGTTCGTTTTCGCACAACGGGACGGGGCGTCATCTGAGATGGGGACTGCGCGCCACCAGTCCTTCCTTCCTTCTTTCCTTCCTTCGTGTCCCTGTGCCCTTCCTCATCGTGTGAGACTTTCCCCTTGTTGTGTTCTTGCCCCCCCTCCTCCACTGAAGGAGGCGGAGGAGGCAAGAAAACAATCCTTAACATTGTTCACCTTGCCCCTATTGTTGTTGTAGGTATGTTGTAAATTATGGGGTGTCATGGACAATTTTGTTGAACATTGTTCAAACTTTTGGATAGTTTTGAATTTTGAAGTGTTTATTTGAATACATATTAATATATTATTATAGTATTATTTTTTTAGTTTTAAATCTTTTGTGACCATATATCACAATTGGAAGTGAAGATATAATTGGAGTATTTTTATTTTTGAAGGTGAGGGGGGGATTGGTAGGAGAGGGATGTAGAGCTATGTTTTTAATGCTCTTATTTGACAAGAGACAATATGTAATTGGAGCATTTTATTTTTGATCTTGTATTTATTGTTTTATACTTGATATAATGTTGTCTAAGTAGGATGTATATTTGTTGCACCACATTGGCTTGAATACTAATCATTAATTAATGTCACAATATATTTTAAAAATATGTACAAATATTGAACTAGAATGACTATTGATTAGACTTACGATTATTTATTTAGCAAATATTTAAATCTTATAATTAAAATTACTATTGTCAAAGACAAGAAGATTAAAGACTCTTAAAACAAGACAGACTCTAAGAACAAAAAAGACATTAATAAGAGTGAGGAAGATATCATTCTTGCTTCTATATATATGTCACGGACACAAAATACAGACTTGAAATCTAACAAGAAGTTCAAGAAGAAGTGGCAGAACTAGATTAAACAGATGAGTACAAGAACAACACCAGAAAGGTGAACTAGAACTCCAAGAGATGTGTTGTCGAGACTGAAGAACCCTTCAGCCTCGACTCCTATATATACTACTGAATAGGAAGCTTCTCGAGCTACTTCCGCTAACTAGGACGCTTCTCCAACAACTTCTACTAATTAGGAAACTTCTCGAGCAACTTCCTAGAATCTATCAGAATATTCTAGAACCTTCTAAGAGAATCTTTAGGGAATATTCTAAGAATCTTCTAGAACCTTCTAAAGGAATCTTTAGAGAATCTTTAGAGAATATCTAGAAGAATATTCGAAGAATCTTCCAATGTATGTCCATGACATCACCTCCTCTTCTAACTTCGAGGTCTCCAAGAAGCAATGTTGTTATCAGTCAATACCAACGCAAGAAAATGAAAATCTGTCGCATCACATCCGCTATGAATTCCAATTGTTGTTCGCGAGGCAAATGATTCATCGGCCCTTGGAGCCAACGGTAGTGACCAACACCTTCAACCTCTGACCAAGCGTGGACTTCTGTGTCTTCATTGTGAAACTGTCTTCCAAACACACCTTCTGGCTGACCGTCGTAGGCAGGCTCGACCTCAAATACAATTACTAGCAATCTGTTGCTCGGTATCCTCCGACGTCGTCGTGGTGCAGGCGGTTCTTCATCTCGCGGTCGTCTTCGTGAGCTAGTCGCTTGAGATGACATAACAAGTGTAGTATCTTGACTATCCATGTCCAAAGGCTAAAATGATGAGAGCAAACTATAGTTGCTAACAAAGTTCTACACTATCGAACTATGGGTTTTGGAGGTGCCCTCCCCCCTTTTTATGCTACTTGATGAGCAAGCTTCAGCAAGGAGCTATCGTTGAATCGGCTTAGGTTTATGAGGATATCGTTGATGAAATTCTTGTATCTTTTTTGGTGCATTGGCAAGATTTTTGACACGCTCCCACGTTCGTTCATTGATGTCGTATCCACTCCAATGCACTAAATACTCCAATTTTCTCCTATTACGCCGTGAATCTAGTACCTTTTCCACCTCGTATTCCTCATGGTTTTCAATTTCGATACTTGGTGGCGGACTTTGTACTCTTTGGGGAAAAGCTGACTCTCGATAAGGTTCCAACAAAGACACGTGAAAGACTGGATGTACCTTCATAGTAGCTGGTAACTCCAGACGATATACCACCGGATTGATCTGCTTCTCGATAACAAATGGCCCTAATCTCCGATAGTCCAATTTGTCACATGGCCGCTTGGTCTTGATATTCCGTCGAAGAAGCCATACTTTACTTCCAACTTTAAAAGTAGGCGCCTCATTTCGATATTTATCTGCAGATGCCTTGTAACTCTCTTGGGTAGATTGCAATTGAAGCTTCAACGTCGCTTGAAGCTCCGATAGTTGCTTCACAAATCCTTCAGCTGCTGGGTTGTTATTTGCTGAAGAACTCAATAAATCGAGCTTGGGGTGGTATCCGTAGTTGGAGAAGAATGGTGTTTGTTGAGTTGACGCATGAAGAGTGTTGTTGTATGCGAACTCAGCAAGCGGTAGATATGCAGTCCAATCATCTTGTTGATAGTTGATGCTGCATCGTAAATATTGCTCCAAAACTTGATTCACCCGCTCCGTTTGACCGTCAGTTTGAGGATGAAAAGCCGAAGAGAGCTTAATATCCACCTTCAATATCTCAAAGAGGGACCTCCAAAACTTGGATACAAACTGAGTACCTCGATCCGACACGATATCATCTGGTAGGCCATGATAACGATATATGTTATCAAGAAAGAGTCTTGCGGTGTCTTCACTTGACGATGTTTTCTTGCAAGGCACGAAATGCGCTATCTTTGTAAATCGATCCACCACAACAAAGATGCTGTCAAATGAATTCGATGGCGGTAGGTCCGTAATGAAGTCCATAGAAACTGAAGACCATGGTCGGTGCGGAATAGGCAATGGCTGGAGAAGTCCATACGGACGATGTCGAGGGATCTTGGATCTTGAACAAACATCACAAGAAAGGACAAATTCCTTCACATCCTTCCACATTTGGGGCCACCAAAAATCTTGTGAAATGAGCTCCAAAATCTTGTTGAATCCAAAATGTCCCGCAATTGGAAAGTCGTGGCGAGATTGAAGTACTCGGAGTCGAGTTGGTCCTTTCGGGATATACAACGGCTCCTCAAAATACTGTAGATCTCCCTCCACCTTAAACTTGTCATTATCGACACGTTGTTTGATGTCAAGAGCTATAGAATCCTCAATGGTCGCAGTACGTACCTCGCTGAGGAAGCCGTCATCGATAGTTGCAACAGTAGCAAAAATCCTGAATTTTTCTGGTTTCAACAATGTTGTACATTGTTGATCAAACACTGCTTCTCCAGCCTTTGGCGCAAGATACGATCTCCTCGATAATGCGTCAGATAATCCTTGCTGTTTTCCAGGGCGGTAGGTGATAATATAGTCAAATCATGATAGAGACATATTCCATCGAGCTTGACGATGATTCAAAATTCGAGCTGTCATGAAGTACTCCAAATTCTTGTCGTCCGTATAAACAGTCACTGGATGTGCAGCTCCTTCGAGGAAGTGACGCCACTCTTAGAAGGCATCCACTATAGCAAGCAGCTCTTTGTCGTGGATCTCGTAGTTGATCTCAGCAGCAGAGAACTTCCGTGAATAGAACGCAACTGGGTGAAGCTTCTTGTCTATGTCCATCTGTGAAAGCACAGCTCCCAAAGCAAAATCTGAAGCATCGGTCTCTAAATAGAAAGCCTTTGCAAAGTCAGGGTGTACCAAGATTGGAGCCGTAGTGAATGCCGTCTTAAGATCTTGAAATGCTTTTGCTGCTTGTGATCCCCATTCGAGCTTGTCTTTGCTTGTTAGATGCATGAGTGGTGCAGCAACTTGAGAATAATTCTTGATGAAGATCCGATAGAAGTTAGCAAATCCAAGAAAACACTGAACATCTCTAACCGTCTTCGAAACTTCCCAAGATATAATTGCTTCTACCTTTTTTGGATCCATCTTCAAGCCCTCTGTAGTCGCAATGAAGCCCAAAAATTCCATCTCATTCTGGTGAAATTGACACTTCTCCAACTTGGCGTAGAGTCCTCGTTCGCATAGTTTTTCAAGAACCAAACAAACGTGCTTCTCATGTTCTTCTTCATTCTTGGAAAATATCAAAATATCATCCAGATAGATGACAACAAAGTCATCGAGGTACTCCCGAAAGATGTCGTTCATCATATGCTGAAAGACCGCTGGAGCATTGGTAAGACCAAAAGGCATGACATTGTACTCAAAATGGCCATACCTTGTACGAAAGGCTGTCTTCCATTCATCTCCTTCTTTGATTCGCACAAGATTGTAGGCTCCTCTTAAATCAATCTTTGTAAAAATCCTTGCACGTCCAAGTTGATCTAAGAGGCCGGAGATCAAAGGTAAGGGATAGCGATTTTTCTTGGTCACCTTGTTGAGTCCTCGGTAGTCCACGCACATCCGCAGTGAGCCATCCTTTTTCTTCACGAATAGGATTGGTGCTCCAGCTGGCGACTTTGAATGTCGAATAAAATTCTTGGCTAGATTCTCATCGATGTACTTCCGCAATTCTGCCAACTCCGTCTGCGATAGGTTGTATATTGGACCAAAAGGTGGTTGCGCTCCTTCCTCTAAGTCTATGGCGCAATCATATGGTCGATGTTCCGACAGTATATCGGCGTTCTTCTTCTGAAACACGTCTTCAAAATCCCTATATTGCTCTGGTATATTCGATGTTGAGATATTCTCGCCGCTAGTTGGAGCTGCATAAATGACAAATGGTGCGCCTTCTTTGGACGATCTTAGGAACGCTCTCGCTCCAATAAACATGGATTTCTTCATGTAGGTTCTACCAACAGGTTTATTATTATTTTTTTCAGGAAATGTTATCCTTCGTAGCCTCCAATCAATGGACGGATTATGATCTTCTAACCAAGAAAGACCAAGGATAACAGGGCTTGATGGGGTTCTAATAATATTAAAAATAACGT